ATAATAATTGAAATTTGACTGTATTTTACCAAATACTAGTCTACTAAAACACAGCCAACACAAGTTACTTTGCACAGACCAAAGATCAGTTTTATGTTATTTGATATGGTAACATGAGTGCACATGAGCCGCGTCATTGTAACTTCTGTTTTGTTAGCCCGGCACGGGTGAAAGGTCAATATAATAAAAATAATAAATATATATAAATGTAATATGTTATGAGATTTTAGCTATTTCTTCTAAATATTTATATTTTCGTGTAATAATTTGTGTTCATTCTAGAATGAAAGAAGCATAATTTATGTTTATTTCCTAATTTTTTATGGTGGTTGCGAGATCGATCAAATCTACCGAACTCATACATAGATTAATTACTGAAAATAACAGATAAAATATAAAGTTTTTCCTTAAGAAATGTTTGATAACTATCTGGACATTATAAAGATTTCACATGCAAAATTTCAAAATTTTCTAATTCATAAAAGTATTTTTAATCTTAAAATGAATATTACTTTGCATGATAGATAGACAGCTTGCAAAAATAAAAAATAGACATGAGAAAAACATTGTTTTATAAACCTTAAAATTTAATAAAAAAAAGTTATATTTTGCATATGAAAGCATTGTAATGTTTACTGATAATCTGCCAAATTTCGTTAACATTCGCTTACTAATTTAAAAGTTATAGCATGAGCTAGCTATTATGACCGAGCTCGTGCTGAAAGAGTTAATCAAAAATTATGATTTAAATGACTAATATCATGAACAGTGGTACCATTTCAGCAAAATCTTGGAGTTCCAGAATGTTGATGTGGAAACCTGACTCAACTGAAGACTAATGGCCAGAGATCTCTTGGGCATTGCAGTACACCCTCCACCCCAACAGAGAAGTTTTCATCAAAAGATGCACCTCCTTTGCGGAGGACGAACAGAGACACCAGCCATTTGTCTGCAGGGAAGGAGGAAAGGATACTGGGTAATCCAGAGGATCTCTGGTGAGGTTTCATTGAACCCGAAAGACCCACTGAAGAGATCGCATGTGGGCATAGCCAAGGGGAATAAGAGCCTCCAAGGAAGCCTAAGTCCCCAAAAGAGAAAAACATCTCCCGCATAAGCTCCATGGAATGCAGATGGAGGGAAGAAGCTGGGCCTGACTGAGAGATGGGAGTTGAAGAATACCCTAAGATGGACGAAGTACTGATCAAGATTGAGAACGGACTTTTCCATCCTGACCAGCCAATCCACCCATGCAGCCTCCTTGAGAAAAAACGGCTTGATGATGGAAGATGCCAAAAGCAATGGAACTAGAGGCAGCCAGTTTTCCATGTAATGATGGAAATGAAGCCCATGTAAATGAAGATGTTGGAAGAAGGCTTTGACTAGCCAACAAAAAATGTAGGGGGGGTGGGTCAAGGCCAGTCCAAAACTTATACGTATGGTCCATGTGGACGAAGCAAGGATAATGATGGAATGCTGGGGAAATGAGAATATGGAGGCAAGTATCTGACACCTCGAACTTTGTCTTCTACAGACCTGGAGTAAAAGCCCATCAAAGAGAGAGAGGAAAGACTTCAAGATAAACTGAAAAACTTTCAAACAGTGGTTCAGATAGGAGGGATCGATAATAGGATGCCATTCCCTGATCTTCTTGGGGACTACAAAAAGATGGGAGTAGAAACCAGGAAGAGTAAGAACTACCAGTTCTATAGCACCATTGAGTAGAAGATCCTGAACTACCTTGGAAGGACATTGGCTGAACAGTAGATCCCGAGGAGAGAAAAGAAACAGGAAAAGGTGATAGGGGAAGTGGTAAAAGGAAACAAAGGGAGAGTCCTTCTGATAAGATCTGAAGAACCGAAAGGTCAGTGGTAAGTGACTCCCAAATATTCACAAAAAGCAGCAATCTTGCCCCTACTGGAGCCAATCCAAAATAAGAGTCACCAAAATCATTGGCAGAGTGCGGGTCAGCAGTGAACAACAGTATGCTATGAAGGTGTGACCTATGAGGAAGGGAAATGAAAGAGGTGGCCATGACACAAGAATAGGAGCAGGGGAAGGTGTGATAAACGAGAGGCAAAGGAAGTATGTAAACAGACAGATCCCACTCTTTACTCCAAAGAGTCAGAAAGATCCCCCAAAATCATTTGTCATAAAAAGGTGCCCATGCAAAGAGGTGGGGAAGATGCACATGAGTTAGGAGTGTATCCCTACCTAAGAGACCCCAACAACAAAGGAGCCAAGTGTGGAGGGAAAGGGCCGAGGTAGAAAAGTGCACCAACTTGGAGAAGAGAAGGGAATGGGCATCTGCTGAAACCCCCAAGGGGAATTATGGATAACCTCAGACAAAAGGTAACAAAGGAGAGTTGTCAATATCAGGCAAAAGTGGGAAAACTGTGCTTATGAAAAATGCACAGACCCCTAGATGGGGAGGAAAAGGATATGCTGAACGATGGTACAAAAAAGCATGAGCCTCCATCATGCTTGGGTGATGCAGCATGCTGACCCTCAAAGACAGTTGCTGGGCAATAGGCTCAGCATGGACCCCAATGTCAGGTGAGGGAGGAAAGACAAAATACTTGACGGAAAGTGCTTCTGTCAAAAGGGAAGGGATTGGGTTGTATGACACAGAAAATAAAGACAAAACAGAATATACCTGTGAAACTAACTCTAAAAAAGGTCATGGTGCATCTATAGTTCAAGACCAAGGCTGTACAGCACAGAAAGGGGGAAAAAAAAGACTGTTCAAATCTTCATCATCCTGTTCCAGCAAGAAGGGGAGAAGTGGTTGATAGTAAGGAGACCAATCAGCCCACATAATTTGTTTTGTTTGTTTGAAGTTAAGTGCAAAGCTACATAATGGGCTATCTGTGCTCTACCCACCATGGGTATTGAAACTCAGTTTCTAGCTTTGTAAGTCTGCAGACATACTGCTGTGCCACTGAGGGACAAACCCACGTGAAGGAAGACATCTTGTGTTGCACAATGGCTAAAATATCCTCAGCCGATAACATCAGACCTGAAGCCATCATGTTAAGTTGTTGGTCATTAACTGTGTCTGAAGCTGTAGTAGTAATGACTTGGAACTGTGAATTCATAATAAGTCATTCACGGAAATTATTCAAAATGAAATTCACTTGAAGTACACAAAAAAACAAAGTCCAAATTGTTTTTGAAATCCAAGCAAAAAAAAATAAAAAATTTCACCTCCAAAAACTTTATACACTAAATTAAGTATAAAAAAAGCAACAAGTGAGACAACTGATCACTATCATGCCAAATTGAGAAGTGAAGCATAGGAGTCAGCTGCACTAGGAGGGTGTGTCACACTCCTACTGGTGGAGGGTTGTTGCATGCTTATTTTGATGCTACAGTGAAGCTAAACCATGTAGAGATTAGTGGGAGTATAAAGACTAGTGGCAGGCAAAATTTTTGTGCATATGGAGGGCAGTACAAGTTGAGGAAAGCTGTTTTTTGAGAAGAGGTAAGTTATCGTATCAGAATAAAATAGTTCTTATACCTTTTAAAATTACCAGTTTTTAACATAACTAGATAATTCATCACCATATTTTAAAGGCATACATTATGACTAAACTAGTTGCTTTTAATTAGGGGCATTACATCTTGAAGATGGTATTCTGTTGAAAATATTCTATATACTCAAAGTTGAAAGTGAATATTTTAATGATGGATACTTAAGATACCATGGTTGTTAGTAAATGTGGAAATAATACAGGTTAATAAAGGAGATTAAACATAATAGGGTCATTGTATGTACAGAAGTCAAAGTGTGCATACCCTGACCTTTTACAAAGGAGCATTCAACGTGGTATTTTGCATTTGGTGTTAAGAGTTCTGAACATTTTATGTTACCTTACATTACATAGCTGATTTCAAAACTATTCATGTCAGAGCAGAAAAATATCAAATACAATATACAGGGATACTGAAAGAACTTTAGATATACATGAACATCACCTTGTAATCAGACTTGTCAGAGTCAGAGTTAGAATGACTTTGGCATTTCACATACGTATCTTTAGCACAAAAAATTTAGAAACATATCCAATTTTTTGTGGTGATTTGTTTTTAGAGCAAAGCCACATTAGGCTATCTGCTGTGTCCACAGTGGGGAATCAAACCCAAGATTTTAGCATTGTAAGTCTGTAGACTTACTGCTGTCCTGTACTGTTGATTAAAAGTTTGCTGGATTTCATGAACATACACTTTGTAAATTCAGATGTAGTCAACACTAATTCTCCAATATGAGGTCAGTCTATTTGACCGACCCCATGCACATTCATTGGGATAAAACAGATTTGTACAAGATCTGAAGTCTCCTGCAGAAGAGACTTAATATTTAATTTCTGGAAGATAACTGATGAGGTAAAATATTTAAAAATTACTTTGATGGCACATAAATAGAGCTGGACAATTATCTCGATGAATTAACATCATTGATTACCTATGAGCATCAATTATATGTTAGAGTTACATAAAATAATCAATCAATTAATCAAAATTAGGATTAAAGTGATTAAGGTAACAATAATAATTGACTAATGTTTCCAATTAGTACTGTTTTTTATTTATTCCAACTAACCAGTAATCAAAATTATGGTTAAACCAATTATTGTTATGAAAATGATCAATTACTAGAAATTAGTGCTTCCAAATTATTACTGCTTTTGCATATTCCAACTATTGAAGTCATCAAAATATTGCCATTATGTTTGTTGGTTGTTAAACACAAAGTTGCAGGTATCAAATTTAGATTTTTAGGGTTCTGAGGTTGTTTTTCTTTTATCCATCCCATATAAAATTAATTGACTAGTTGAACATAACTAATTAATGAGCCCATCAAATGATCAATTTGTACATTTCACTAATCACCCAGCTCTACTACAGAGTTTTCAGCTTACAGATGAAAGAATGAAGTTTTTGAGTCAATTCATAATTTTATGTACTTTTAAACTTACATATAAATATATAATGTTCCTTGTGATATCTTTTAACTCTAGAATTATAAATAATGTCAATATGAACCACCATCAGATTTTTAAATAAATTTTTTAAAATTTATGTACCAACTTACAGGTGGGTCCATGAATTTGTTGGTTACAGGTTCTCTACTAGCAAAGGAGACACACACAAAAAATAATGTAAAAAAATACTTCGAAAAATATTGCAATTGATCCCACTAATAACTGTAGAGGTTTCTTGTGTATATCACATTAGTAAAAAAGTAATTCAACTTCACCCATTTTTTTACATTGTGTTCTGACAGGCAAAAACACAAAATTACTCAATATGATGCAATAAAACTGCAACTCATTTTTTTTTTCTTCACAAGAGTTTTACAGGGCAATAGTGTACATAACCAATACACTCTAGGAATTACAGCAACATTAATTTCTGGCAGGGTGGGAACTCATTATTCCAACTTTACTCAAACTTGATTAAACTACACAAAATGGGTAAATGTAGGATTCTATCTGACAGTTAGTCTACCTTTATCAGGCTCAGAGAGAAGCATGATGCCACAATGTGAGTCACTGGATCTAAGGACTTTCGCTGGTTTTTCTCAGGTGATAAATATGGCATGTCTTTTTTCATTACCAAACACCTAAAGATTTAAACATTATTAAGGCATAATTTAAAATAACATGTATCAATCTGTAATAAACTTTTACATTTCTTAGAAGAAAATGAGTTTCAAATAGGCACTTAACTCTGAACCACAGTTTACCTTTTCTCATTGAGAACTCTCTCCGTGAACACCTTGTGACCTAAAATTCTGAATGTCCTTGACACAATGCATTATACCTACCCATAGTATTTGCATATTCCCACCTTCTACACAGAATTTATGCATGCATCAGGAGACTACATAATTTCTAACTCCAGCTCAAAGACACATTTCTTATCGAGTCATGATGTGAAACCACAGATCTCATAGTTATGGAAAGTTTCCAAACAGACAGTCTTGCTTCTGAAACACAGTGTGCCTAATTACCCATACTCAAAAGGAAGAGGAATCCAGATAATATAACTGGTTATGAACAATGAAGCACTCCACCAATACCAACTGATGGCTAGTGGAGTTACACATGAGAAATAAAAAGCAGAATACAGACTTAAGTATATAAGATGGACTATATCTGCATTTGAGAAAGAGTGGAGAGAGCCTGGCATTTGTTGAGAATATACGATAATTGGCAGACTAATCCATTGTATTATAAAGACATTCATAAAAAGCATTTTTCCAAGCAGCATACCTAGTCACTCAGGAAGCTAGCACGTGTCCTACTAGACTGTGTAGAATTATACCTGGACCACCAAAGGTGGCATTAAAAAGAAAACAGTACAAGCTTTGCTAGATACCAAAGTACTGGTTATTGTGGAAGATTCTTGGTGGAGAAGATCAGACCATTTTCTCTTTCAGTAAAATAAGACTAGACAACTCTGAGGATAAAATATCCCCCTTCATTAATACAGAAACTACCAGCAAACAAAATAAGTTAGGTCACTGACTGGTCTAATCAGCAGGTAGGTAGTGTGAAGCAAATAAGGATGGGTTGAACAACTTGAGAATAGTGGAATGGAAACATCATGGATGAAAATAAGGGTAATGTACCCCGTCCAAGAGGGAAGATGAGAGACAATATGGAGATTCCTAACAATATCCCATCTGCTCTGTTATAATGCGATAAGTGATGTGCACACAGAGGTGGGAAGATAGGTACTTGTGGAGGCATCATCTGCCACCAGATGGCATCTGCTGTCCATATTCACTGAGCATGACCCTCTAACAGAGCATCAGCACACAATGAAGTATGGTTCAAAGACAGAGTTTTATTAAGAACTTAAGTAAGTGCTGATTTCTAACCATACACAGACTAGCTATCAGAGACAGACCATAGATTTTTTAAAAATTGGGTTTAAGTAAACAAAAAATGTATTGGAGTTGTCCATATAATGGACCTCATGATATTCTATAAAGGGTATACTGACTGGGAGGACATTAAGACATCACACAATGTTGAACTTGATGGAATGAAATCACAATTCCTGTCTTAGGTGACTGGGTACATCCTGGTAAATAAAAAAGTGAGAGAGTCAACTCATCAAACTACCAGGGGCTCATCATGAGGTAGATATAATATCAGATTAGACCCTCTAACATCTAATAGCTCAAAGAGGACAAAGAAAGAAATAATTACCCTTATGTGCAGCCAAAGTTTCAGGCAAAAATTCTCTGTCAGTATACAAAATAGAGCAAAGTGCAAAACGAATCAAGGGTATAAATATCTAAACATCCAAGCCAAAATCAAGTTCAAGAAGAAAACAGGTCCTGATAAGCAGATGATAAAGCAAACAAGTTACTAAAGACTCAAGAGGTGGAGCTAAACAATGCAAAACAAGACCCAAGTTGCAAGTTGGACAGTATCAGGCATGTGAGGACACTGAGGCCAAAATGCCTGGAAAAACTTGTAAGAAGTGAAGATGTACGTGAAACATTATGCAAACAAAATCCAGAAAATGTAGAGACAGTGATGTAATGAAGGTAAAGAAAAGTATTTTGGATTCATCCATATGCCAGTTTGTAAGATGTCCTCTAAAGGGTACCAAGACTGCAAAGCCAAAGACTAGACAAATGGCAAACTTGATGAGATATAGCACTAAAAGCATTTAGGAAAATCATGGTAAATATGACGTATCAGCTACACAAGTCCATTCATCAATGTGGAAGGAGTAAGATTCATTGTAAGGTATAAACAACCTATTCCAATAACATAGCCAAATGACAAATTTGATGAGATGTAACCTTCTGTACGAGAAATGGCAGCTCTGTAGCCTACAATAGAAGAAGCAGACAAGCCATGATCATGAAATAAGTACATGAAAAAGGAGGTAATCTGTTGAGATGTCAAAAAACAATAATCAGAATTACAAGATTGGTATACTGCCCGGTACACTGAAGAATGTGACAACATCTGAAGGGAATCCAGCTTCTCTAACAAAGGATTGCATAATAGTCAAACAAGAAATTACACATGAAAAACATTGTTGTGGAAGATGCATGTTTGATGCTTGCTTAGAAGACATTTCCAAAGATATAGTGGAATATGATCTTTCTGGGCAGACAACATAGTAGTGGAAATGATGGTTGAGTAGGCTAACATGGGTCAATAACAAGAACTTGATAATAGGACCAATTGAGCTTGTTCAATACCTGAAGAAGAAGACAAAGAGGAAGGCAGGCATAGAAAAAAAGATTCTCACAAGACTGGCTCAAAGCATTTACTGATAGAGAAGCTGACTTCAAAACTAGGAACCAGTAAAGCATCAGAAGATAATTTAGTGCAGTCACAAATATATTATCATAGGTTGACCTATTCGATAGCACAAACAGACAAATAGCAGAGGATGCAGGGTCCAACCTGTGTGAAGAAGTCGACAATCTTTGAAAAGAGAATCTGCTAGAATGTTCATAACACCTTGCACATAGCAAGTTTCAAGAATGTAGCCAAAGAAGTAGAAAGATGACAGTAGAATAAATACTGGGAGAGAGAGTCCCATCCTCCTCGTTGATATACATCACCACAGTCAAATTGTCTGTAACTACTAAAATGTAGTGGCATTGTAAAAAGAGCAGGAATTCCTAATGTCCCTGTTGAAATGCCCAAAGCTCTAACAAAGTGATGTGAAAACAAGATCTCTGAGGAGACCACAGGCCTGAAAGACATCCCCCCCCCCCAACACAACATCCATCCTTGAAGAAAGAGGCATTGAAGTAATAATGAAAATCCAGAAGGGGTGGAAGAAAAGGGGGAACCTACAAAGGTAAAGTTGCAAGTTAACCACACAGTAAACAAGAGTAGTAGGAAAATTTTCTAATAGACAAGAGAATAGACTCTACTAAGGGGCAATATCTCATTGAAGTTGTGTGATGTGAGCTCATCCCATGGGAATTACCTCATATGGAGAAACCATCATTCCCAAAACAAAGAGGATGTCTTTGGCAGATAGAGGAAAAGAGAGAAGTATGCACTTCTAAAACTTTAGGGATTACAAAGCCAAAGGAGATGGGTAGAGAATACCTTAATAAGTGTTGATCCAAAACCTCTGATGTACTAAACATTAAGCAGGCACAAGATGAGATTTGGACTCATGAACAATCCTTCCCAGAGATGAGGCAAACTAGGTGGTCAATAGAGCATGAGTCAGTGATGGAAAAGACGATGTAGCTAGAATACTGAAACTATCAATTTAATGGCACAAAAAAAAACTAACTGGAAGACAGGTGAATCGGGATGTGTAAATAAGCAACTTTTGTCACCCAAAAACCATGATGAATGGTCTTGAAAAAAATTATCAGGTACCATCTTCAAAGGAGGAACATCTAGATCTAATCCTGGTCTCCAGCCTCCAATTTCTTTGGCACAACAAAGAAAAAGATGAGAAAAAAAACCATGGACACATGAAGTATAACTTCTTTAACCCCTTGTTTCATAAATGGTTCAAAATTTCTAGATCCAAAATTTGAATAGACATAGTAAAATAATGACGAAATTGAATAAAAAGAAATATCCATATTGAAGAACCTAATGAATCCAAGGGTCCAGAGATTAACAAATGATCTGATATGGCTCCCCAAGAGTCAATGAGTTTATCATAAAGACCTATCTCACTTACACTGATACTAGATGACACAAAAAAGTACAAGTAGATATAGCAAGCACTTATGAACATTAACCATTAGTTTCTGGATTGGATGGGGGATGACAATCAAAAGCAAAACAAGATGCTAAAACCTAATCAACTCCGGCTGGCATGCTTCTCCTGAATGGAAAAACCAATGAGGATGAAATACCTACAAAGACAAAACAATTCAGGGAAGTCATATCTTTATTTTTGATGCCAACTACCTTGCCATACAGTCCAATGGGCTAGTGTCAAAAAACGTAAGCGCCATATGGTAATAAAAACAATATCAGTGAAACCCACAGGTAATGGAGACTGCCAAGTAGATATATGATCCTAATTGAAAATAATAAGAAAAAGAATAGCTAATAATAGTTCTGAAAAAGTCTACATACAAAACAAATCAAGCCAAAACAGTAGTGTGTCGTGCAGCCAAAACAACTTGCAGGACACACACACGAAGGATAATTTAGCACTTTTTCACTTTCTGTAGCTCGGACTGTGGTAATCCAAACTATCACATATTTTCAGTGGATGTACTCTACTGGACCCTTATTTCAGATTCCAAATTTCAAGACAATCCATTAAGTAATATACGAGAAAAAATTTTGACTGAATGTTTTCTTTTTTTTTTGCACCAAAAGTACACTAACTTTTTTTGATAGAAAAACATATTTAACTTTCATGGATTTTTTTAGAATTTGATACACTGATAGATCTTTATAACATACAATTAGGTGTCAAATTTGGTCTAAATATAAGTCGTAAATGCAAAGTTATTCAACAAAAACTGCTCAATTGTGCTCACTTATGCAAAAAGTGAGCTAGTAGTCTGAAATTTTTACTACAGCTTCAGCTAAGAGTACAGGTGGAAACTTTTAGTTTTTTGTCATTGAGATTAAGGACGTCTGATTTATAGCAGTAAAACTATAGGGTAAAAATACATACAGACACATACATATTGGTTAGGCCAAGCAAACTAGATTAGTGGTTTCTAGCTCAAGTTTTCAAAAGAATCATATGGGTGGATGATTATTATTGATTATTCATTGCTAACTTTTAAGCACATATTTGTTTAATTTTATGAAATTCCCTTAATTAAAGAGCATTTGGCATTACATGATATTAGTGTAAATAATGATGCTTGATACGGCTGTACCGAGTGCATGTGGGTGATGACAAGAAACTGTTAATCTAGTTTCTATAGTGTTATTATAACAGCTATTAACACTGTTTTAGAGAAGAAAAACTACCATCATATATTTTATAAAGAATCTGGTTGGTTCTATAAAGTAAAGGTCTGTTCTGAATAATAAGGTTGCAATCCTAAAGCTAATGTTGATTACTATCAAGTGTCACTTTTTCTTACTTGCTGTGGTTTGTTGGTGTGTATTGACAAAAAGTTAATATCTAATCAAAAACACCTTAAGAGTGAAAAAAGTGTGGCCAAAAAAGGATTGAGCACATTTTGTTTTACCCACCATCATGCTCCAGGTTGAACAGAAAAATCAGACTGGCTACCTAATGAGTGAATATTTACTGTAAAGTTCTTATCAATGCTATAAGTGTAGCTATCAGTTTGGTCACCAATTTTGATTTCTTTCCTTTAAGTCGCATGCTCAGTCCTTTTTTGACTGCATCTTTTTTCACACATAAGGTGTTTTTGATTAGATCATAGTACACCAGGCAGAAAAGTAAAAGCCTATTTGGAACACCTCCCCAAAAATCAAAACAGAGGTGGAATATGAAGTCTATTAATATTGGATTAAGTACTAATAGCATCCACAACAATCTGAGTATCAGGATAGGTGGAATAAATAATAAATTCAAGTACTGAACCACTTAACATGATACAAGAACATTCAGGTGTAACAGAAAAGACAAATAAGACCAGAAGTATAATCAGGATCAGAGCAAACAGATAAAAGTTGTTCTGCAGACAATGAAGGTAAATAGGCCTGAATAAAAGATCAATCTTATTGAAAAACAAGAGAAAAATGGTGAGTGTAATGCAAATTGGGCAGCTAAACACTCATGGTGGGAAAGAAGAGCTTATATAAGATCCCCTGCTACTTGTACAAAATGCCATGCAGAAGATGGAAGAGTGGAGAATTATGGATAAGTGATGCATTCTCTGCAACACGTAAAAGACATTCAGAAATTCTGAGTCACATGTTTTGGTGACAGCATGAGAGGAAACTCAACAAAGCTTTCAGCATTTCAGAGGTACGACTTGCCGATTTAGATTATTCTTAACACTTCTAGATTATATTTCTATTAATATCTTAATCCCCATAAAAATATTATTAGATCTAGAAGTACAAGTTAGATAATATATTGCAAATAGTTAAACTAATGTAATGAAGCTGGCTAGTATGGGTAAATTTCTAGAAAGTTTTAAGTAGATCTGTATTGCAAAGGATGCACATGCATGCTAACCCTGCCATCCTCTTGAATCATGTGAAATAAATAATGCTTAGAAACCTTGGAAAGTAGTAACAGACAAAAACTTTACAACAATGCAATAAAAAATTATCATATCATATTATACTAGCTGGAACAGTGACATACAACATTACAAGGTTATTATAACAGCTGAGAAAAGGCTTAAGATTATGAACACTGCCTATACAAATGACAAACATTAATACCCATAATCTAGCTCACTTTGTACCATGTGCTGTTTTGTTTCCATAAGAACAATCTACAAATATTATCTGTAATACAGTTTTCTCTTCAATCTAGAAACTGATTGTTTTTACTAAACTACTACAGTGTATGACTTATCAGCATTACAGACCTCACTAGAGGGTTTTCCAAAATTTCCAGCTCCTTTTGAAACTCATCCAGTTTCATTCGTAATTCTATGGAGTGAAGAACATCCTCTTCAGTTAGCTCAGTTTCCGAATCACTGACATTCATCTCACAATGAAGGTTTTCCAACTTTTCTTTTACTTCCCAGGCCTCTTTAAGGATAGCTGCAGCCTTTGTGGCCACAGCTTCTGGAACTACTTTACTCTTCATGTCAAAGTAGCTTTGAAAAAAAAACATATCTTAAAGATACAAGCCAAGACAGTACAATGGACATTTGATCTATTCTCAAGGAAACCAATTAACTGGTTTTTCTTTCATTAGTAAATATTCATCACATATAAATAAGCACTGAAGGCTATGTTATTTCATTTCCTAACATTTCTGAACAGATAGCAACAGACAGCCTACAAAACTATAGTTCACACAAGTGAATTTAATGTATTAAACTTGGAGGGTTCTATTGTGTTCATGTTAGAAATTATATTAAGTTTTATGACATTTACAAATGGTAGTTCTATTGTATTCACATTCGAGACTCCTAATATATTAAAATTAAAAAGTTCTATTGTGCTTACGTTTACTGTACAATTATAGTTCTATGACATTCATACTGGAAGAATTTACTGCATTCATGTTAGAGGATTATTCTCTTCTATATGTACAGAATAATCCTCTAACATGAAACTGAATGAAGTCCTACTGTTTCACAATGAAGAGTTCTGCTGTACTGACACTGAAAAGTGATTGATTTACATAAGATAATTATACGCAACATGTCCTGTAATTGTTCTTTTCAAATTATGGTTTTGTTCACGCTTTGTTGAAAGCTAGTCTGAGAATACTAGCTGAGGTCACAAAAAAAAGCATATGTACTAGTATCATCATCATACGATAGAAAACTGGGGAAAAAGTCTTACTCAACATATGTTACGTAAAAAAAGGTTGCTATTATTTGCTTTTACTTGTCTCAGAAATGTTACATTGTTGTTATAAAATGTGTTTAAATACTAACCCCATGCACCAGAACCTTACATCCTGAAAACAGATCAATTTCCAAAGCTCTTAATCTCCTGTACATGAAAAAATTGTACCTTGTTAGTTTTTGCACACTAACAATATCTGTATTTGAATGATATCATCTTCTTTTACATTAGGTAATCAATTAAGTTATTCCAAAACCTCAGCAAATAGATCTCTCTGATGCTCATATGACTGACATGAGGGTCTTGGTAAAACTGGCATGTACTTATTATAAATAGCTTTTAATACCAAAATGTAATACTTACATACAGTCTTACTTCTTGCATCACATCATATTAGAGCCCAAACATAAAAAAAAGGAGTGTGGAGACAGTCACACAAACAATAAAACAAACACTCAAGCACACTACCTGAAAAGTAGTGAACACTGACCGATACATCCTACAAATACACAAAGATCAAGTATCACCTCAGTCAACAGGGGTTCTGCAAGAGATGACATCCAACAGTGACTGTGGAATCACGGCTTGTTCATAACCCAGCTGAAGGGTGAAATAAAGAATTTATGGTATTTTCTGGTAAAAAAAAAAAAATTGCCTATTTTTGACAAGTTTCAGAAACATGGATCCACAAATAACTACAGATTCATTCAGGAAATAGGGATAGTGATTTTTTATTTAATAACTAAGTCTTCCTTGTGTGTTTGTAAAATAATGAGACTGGACAAAGTTGAAAAGTCTTTATTATTGCACAAAAAAAAACAAAAACATAGCATATGTACTTCTGCACATGAAAATAATCACTTCTACTAGGCTGTGCTTAGTCCCACAGTTTTCACTTTAGGGATAGACTTCCTTCGAAATAAATACATTGATCTTAATTCTTCACTCTATAACTTCCTAGTACAACTGGCTAAAGAAAGTGTGTTGTAATTCAGCAGGTGAACTTGTTTTCTTTGTTCAGTTGGCAGCATTACCTTGTGACCTTCGTTTAGTGATTGCCATACTTCGCCAGCAAAAGAAATTACACTGCACATCCATTGAACCCAAATTCTATATATTACTGCAACATCCTCTTGATCAGGGTAGGGTGCGTCACACCATAATCAGCGAGTCGATTCCAGTCCAAAACCACAGGAGGAGAATCCCGACTGTTTTCACCTCAAGCCCAGGAATCAGAAGGAAAATTGCACTTCTGTTCCAAAAACCCAGACAGTGCATGTATGCAGACCCAATACATCTGGGAATTTATCATCCAGTCTGTGGTGTGAGGACTTATGGTGGCTGGTCCTGCTCCAATCCAATACCTGATGACCCGGTAACTGACATCCAGATAGAAGTAGAATGAGAGATCTCAGCTGTTTGGGTGAACTGTATGTGGTAGATTCATCCAGTCCAAACCAGGCAGCATCAGGAATTATATATCCGATTGGTGGTAAGAGGAGAGTACATACAATCTACACCAACAGAACACTACTGACCTACTCTCAACTGAGTGGAATTGGATACACTCAAGAATATGCCTCCATGGTCCACCACCCCAGTGGATAGGAGCTAATAAGTGTCAAGGGCTCCTGTACTCACTCAAATGGGGTGAACAATGCAGTGGGGAGTCCAGAGGAATGCAACACCAGAGAAAGTGCTATGAGTGACCACATAACCCGATACTGAAAAGCAGACTGTTACCAATTTATTCAGCCAGGATCAGAGGGATAAGCAGCTATCCCAACATTGCTATATTCACGATAGTCCATGAGTTGGTAAGGTCTGGGACAGACCTTATTTATGATGGAAAATCCTGTGAAGAAACCTCTAGTAGTCTTGCAGAACACCCCATCTCAACAGTGAGCATTATAGACCTTAACCCTATCACCCCGCTATCCTAAAGTATGCATGACACAAGGTTTTAGTGTCTTACATTCAAAATTTTATTAAACTACTTTTTGTTTATGTTATACCAATTAGAATAGCATAAAATCTTAGCTAATAATCCATATTTTAATAGTATGCAAGTTTTAAGTTCTTCATTCTACAAGGCAATATTATAAAAAATCCTGAATTTCTACTAGTGTGACCCACGTGACACATTTGGTCTTCATCCCTATTTTATCCATCACCCCTCAAAAATGTATGAAATTAATCATAAATTACTTTCTATAAAATCATTATTGCTCAGATAAACCATATTTTTATAGTCTTCAATTTTGTTTGGTTACAGAGCTATCGAATAGAAAATCAGATCCCTCCTGCCACACCCATCTGTCACATCCTCTCTTTCACAGTTTGTTGATAGTTCTCTCTTACATTTCATTATATATTACCTATACCCAATAGAAAGTCAAGGTTTTCATCTATCAAATGATGTATTGTATAATGTTGTGTTCTAAACAAATAATTGTCAATTTCACTCAGAGTTGCAACATCATTTCCATGGGAAAGTTAATGACTAGCTTGGATGAATTTGTAACACCTCTTGTCGCATAGTTAGAAAGCCAGGAAAAATTTTGAGATGTAAGTGAATTTGTCTACCTTTTGCATGTTATTAGTCTATATTGTTTGGTGCATTATTTAATTAAATAAAAATTGTTAAGTGCTTTACTATAATCACTAACAACAATTAGGCTTAATTCTCCTCAACAATCGAAGGCAAGAAAAAAGAAGATTGGGTAAGTACTTCTACTTAGGATAAACAAATGTAGTTTCATGTTACAATTTGAAGTCATTCTAGAAAGAAAAAAAGGATAATTTAAATTGCTTACAATTTTTGTTTGGTGGTTACGAGGTCGGTCGAATTGACCGCTTCCCATTTAGAGCTAGGGTAGAGAA